CTACATACAACACGAATCAGCCATAAGTATACATATATCCTCTCCCTCTCTTTTTTACTTCTTTAGAAAGTTTTATTTAATGTGCCATTGAGCCTATGCCCTTTATTCACTTACTTATCTTGAGCCCATCTAATTAGGACATCAGAAGTTTTTGTAGGCTTTAAGATCTCATTTTTAATTAGGATATGTTTATGAAAATATGCCCATTTGTACATAAGAACACTAAGAAAACAATCCTAGCTCTCAACAGACCTTTGAAAAAAGGCCCACTGTATTATGCAAATTGTATTAGTTGTCATATGCAGAGAAAATAAAGGGTTTTTTGGTTTTTTGCTTTTTGTTACTTCTGAAGTCTTTGAGAAAGTTTCAAGATTTTCACACTAAGAACATGGCAGCTACACTATATCATATTGAGAGTTTGAATTGAATTAACTATGCATTATTTATATTTTCTAATTACTATGTCTAAATTAGTTAGATGTTTTACAGATACCTGGAGAAAATTGGTATAGTGATTGTGGCTGAAAAGGATTTAGTTCATCACCCAAACAGAAAAACAAGTCCACATACTTATCATTGAGCAGGCAGTAACTGGCCTTTCTATTAAGACATATATTTAATGTTACCAACTTTATATGGTAGCAAAAAAGAAATACGTCATGACTAAAAAGAAAGAAGATTTCAGAGAGTCCATTAAGCAAGAGAAGCAATTTTTACTTAAAGACACCTCACAGGAAAATGAAGAAAATAAAAGTATTTTACATTTATATCTAGAAAATTTTAAAAATGAAGTTTTAAGTAAACAGTATGAGAATAGGTCACAAAAATTTTCTCAATGTATGATTTTTCAAAAGAGTGATGTTACTGTACATGACAGAGAAGACATTTCTCCCATTTATTAAACACATTCTTATTAGCAGACACTGCATACCTCAAACTTTGCATGACCTTTTAAAATAAATCTGGGATCCCAAGACTCTTAGCTTGTAAAGATACTTAGAGGGCTGGTGTTCATGTCAGTCCTACCTATGCTCTGCTGTTGACAGGCTGTATCACTGAGTGAAATTCTTCCTTTCTTTGGTTCTCAGTTTCCCAAACTAGTGAGATTGGGAGATCTCTTTACTCTTCAGTACTATAATTCTAAGAGGAAGCATAGCTAAAATGAATAAAACTAATATAAGGAGTCTGAAGGAAAAACAAATAGCTTAAGGTCTCAACAGTTATAAACTTTCAGAGGGAAGGAATGTAAAGATGAAGAAGAAAACGAAGTATCTTATGTAGTAAAGGTTTGTAACTATGCGTAAATAAGGGGCTTCCCAAGTGGCTCAGTGGTAAAAAATATGCCAGCCAATGCAGGAAATGCAAGAGGTGTGAGTCTGATCCCTGCATCCAGAAGATCTCCTGGAGATGGAAATCGCAACCTACTCCAGTATTCCAGGATAATCCCAAGGACAGAAGAACATGGAGGTCTACATCCATAGGATCATGAAGAGTTGGACACGACTGACACAGATAAATAAATCCCACCCATAAGATAGGCAACTTATGTCAAAGATTTGCTTAAGTAAGACTAAGATATTTAGGCAAAAAAACCCCTTAAATTCTACCTACAAAACAATGAAATGTGAATTGAAGACTTCTACTCCACTCAGGTGATTTGTTAAGAAACATTGAAACCACAAAGTAAAATAAGTGAATTAAATTAAAACTCACCTTTAGAATAGTATCCGGGGCAAATGGGACTCCAGCATCTCCATGATTAGTACTTGGCACCCAAGAGGCATCTTCGCAGAGGAGATCCTGAGGGGGAACCACTTCTGGGGTGATATTGAGAAAATTAAATTCTGTCTTAGCTGTTTGAGAGGCAACGCACAGATTGTAGGAATAGGGCAATGTTCCCTCACTGTAGTTGGGGAGAACCCCAGGTCCAGGCTTGACACAGAGACCAGGCTTAAAGCAGCCCCAAGCAGTGGGGCTGGAGGAGCGCCGCAGGTGCAGGGCGACCGCCAGAATCACTGCCAGGAGGAAGAGCACAGAGATCAAGGCCAAGGCCACCACCAGGTAAAACTGCAGCTCAGCCTGGGGGTCAGAGGGTGCGGGCCGGTCACTGAGGTCCGGCAGCACCTCCTGCAGGCTGTCGGCGAAAACCAGGAGCAGCGTGGCGGTGGCCGAGAGGGGCGGCTGTCCCCCATCGCGCACAGCGACTAGCAGGCGCTGGCGGGCCGCGTCCCTGTCGCCCAAGGCCCTCGCCGTGCGCACCTCGCCCGTGCGCAGCCCCACGCTGAACAGTCCGGGCTCGCTGGCCTGCAGCACGTGGTAGGACAGCCAGGCGTTGTGTCCAGAGTCTGCGTCCACCGCCACCACCTTGGTGACCAGGTAGCCGGGCTGCGCGGCGCGGGGCACCGTGTCGAAGAGCGCCGAGCCGTCGGGCCCCAGCGCCGGGTACAGCACCCTGGGCGCGTTGTCGTTGCGGTCGCCCACCAGCACGCGCAGGCTCACGTTGGAGCTGAGCGCTGGAGAGCCGTGGTCGCGGGCCTGCAGCGTCAGCTCGAAGGCGCGCAGCTGCTCGTGGTCAAAGGCGCGTTGCGCGAACACCACGCCGCTCTGCGGGTTCAAGGACACGTAGGACAACAGCGCGCGTGGCTCCAGGTCGCTGGCCACGATGGAGTAGGAGACATGGCCGTTGGGCCCTAGGTCAGGGTCGGAGGCGCTGACATGCGCGATGGAAGCACCAGGTGGGTTGTTTTCTGGCACGTGGACCACGTAGGAGGCCTGATGGAAAACCGGAGTGTTGTCGTTGACATCTGCGATGTGCAGAGTGATGGTTATACTAGAGGAGAGGGGCGGCTTGCCTTTGTCGGTGGCCATTACTGTGATATTGTATTCTGAGATCTCCTCTCGGTTCAGGGTCCTGTCTGTCGTTAGCTTGTAATAGTTCTTCGAATAAGATTTCAATATAAACTCGGCCTTTCCCAAGATTTGGCAGTAAACTTCTCCATTTTCTCCAGCATCTCTATCTTTAGTTTTTATTAAGGCGATCACTGTTCCTGGTGGTGAATCCTCTGGTAGGGGAGTAAATACTGAAGTCACAATCACTTCAGGTGCACAATCATTCTCATCGAGAATTTCGACTTGGACACTGCAGTGGGCTGCTAGATCTCCAGGATCTTTTGCTTCTATACGAAGAGTGTAACTATTAGCAATTTCAAAATCAAAATCATTGTTTGACGTGATTTCTCCTGTTCTTTGATTTAAGTTAAAAAACTGTTTCACTTGTTCATCCACATTATGAAAGGAGTAGGTGATCTCCGCGTTGACTCCTTCGTCCTGATCGGTGGCTGTCACTCGAAGTACTAAGAAGCCAGGTGGCACACCCTCTTGCAGGCTGACTCTGTACACGTCCTGGCTGAACACTGGGGGGTTATCATTGGCATCTGTGACTTGAATTTGGATCTGGGTGGTGCCACTCTGGGGTGGGTCCCCACCGTCTATAGCTGTCAGTAGCAGCTGGTGAAAATTCTGCTCTTCTCTGTCCAGAGAATGTTTCAGAATCAACTCAGGATATTTACGTCCATCTGGAGTCTGTTTCTCTGTGAGATCAAAGTACTCGTTGTCACTAAGGTAATATCTTTGCAGTGAATTAGGACCAGCATCCGAATCTAGTGCCGGGTCTAGTGGAAATGTTTTACCTGGCTTAGTGGATTCTCCAATTTTTAAATCAATCTTACTCTGTTTGAATAGCGGAGTATTGTCATTTATATCCTCTACTATTACTGTTACATGGAAAATATTCAGTGGGTTTTCGGCGACAGTATCGAAATCCAGAATGCACAGAGGCTTCTTCCCACAAATCTCCTCTCGGTCTATTCTGTTACTCACAAGTAAGTCACCGCTTTCAGGTTTTACAACGAAATATTCCTTCTCCGCGCTAATCCGCAGCTTCCGGGCCGACAAGTCCGGGACACTGAGCCCTAGATCTTTAGCAAGATTTCCTACAACCGAGTTTTTGGCCAGCTCCTCGGGAATTGAGTAGCGAATTTGGTCTGGGAGAGCCCCGCGAAATAAAGATAGCAGGAACGGTAACAGTACCTGCCGCCACCGCGTCCGGCCGCTCGTCTCAGTGCTCCGCTTCATCCCGTCTCCCTCCACTGCTGCTCTGCTTCTTGGTCGGGAAGAGAAGCCCTCCGGGGTGGCAAAATCCGGGGTAGGGTCACTTTTTCCTGCTTTTGTTTTTGTATCCAAACCTGTACTGGCCTCCTCGGTGTGGTTGGTTTGAGCAGGAAGTTACCCTCTTGGAGGCTCCCAAATGCGTCTCTGATTATCTTCTCTCTCTTCTTTTGACCTACAGCGACGCCCAGAGGCTTTTCCGAGAAACTGCACTAATGTGTTCTAAAGGTGTTGGAAAAAACTATTTTTCTCCTTTTTTTTTTTTAACTTATAAGGAGTATTTGTTTTTAAGTAGGCATACATTCATACAATTCCAGATTCAAAAGGTACACATATCATGTTTTCCAGGATCTCCCTCTCTGCTTTCAACAACACATTTCTCTCAGGAGAAATGAGTGTTACGGTTTTAGTGTATCATTCCATTAGTATGTTTTGTATCATTCAGCAGAATTTTATAAATGTTCTCCCTTGGTTTTAGACAAAAAAGGAAGTAAACAATATTCCATGTTCTATATCTTGCTTATTTCACTCATTATGTCTTGAAGATAACATTTTCTGACAGTAGGACATAAAGAGGTTTTCTATTTTTAATTTCTTATAGTTATGTACTAGCCCATCATATAATTGTGCAACAATGTAACCAGAAATATTATTTTCTAAAAGAAACCCAATGTCCATTCAAACAATGTATTTCTCATGTTATACTAGTTATAAATAGTCTATAGACCTCCTAGGCACCAAAAAAGAAAAAAAAAAGTATCACTCTGATTCTAGAAATGCATTTTTAACCCAAGAATCCAAATATGTCTGTCATAGTCTCAGGACAATTGATATTTCCAAATTATATTTTTAAGCTTCACTATTTTAAATGATCTCTCCTCAGATACGATTTGCTTCTCAATATACATTTATTATCAGTATTTTCTTTTTCCACTCCCCATGCCAGTTACATGTATCATACACATTCTTCTTTTACTCTATGGATTACACCACAATTTCCCATGAAGACAACAGCATTTAGAAACTTAAACTCTTCTTCTTAAGCTTAATTGAGGCATAGTTCAATTAAGCTTTCCTTAGAAATCAAAAAGGGTCTCATAGTGATACCATAATAGGTAGTTTAGAAGTTATTAAAATCACTTCTGCAATCTATTAAATATGAGTGGAATTAAATGGGTAATATTTTTGACAATCACCTGCACCAAAGAAATCTTACATAGTCACTGCATGTCACAAACTGTAACAACACAATATGTGAAATGTACCAATCCAATTGAGAAACTATCCCTGTGAAAGTTATATCCAAAATTTAAATATATTCCCCAATATTTATTAAGTGTTATTGTTTAATCATAATAGAAAACACCTGTCTCAAAGGAAAGAAAAGCAAATTTCAAGCAAAACACAGTAGGGTGTAAAAAGAGGAAATTTAAAAATACTCAATAGAGATGAAATAATGGCCTCATACAAGAGAATGTGTTAATATGAATTTACACAATTTCTTCCTATTTCATAATTCTAGTCTATCCTTTCAGTAATGCCTAAAGAATAATGGCTTTAAAGATGTGAGATGTTACAAGTATAAAATTAAGAAATTGCTACTGACACTGTAACCAAATGAAGATTACAAAAGATAAATAACAACTTTTAGGTGTAGTAACTGTTACTGATCATTACTGAAGGATCATCTAAAGACACTAAAGTGTCTTTCCACTTTAAAGCAACAGAATACTAAACAAGAAGTGTTTTATTGATCTACATATGTACACACACACATATATATGAAATATAATTGGAGACATTTATGCAGTTCTCTCCCTACGTTTCAGTGTGGCAAGATTTGACTCACCTGATTAAGACTGAATTCTCCTTTTGTTTCTAGTAAATCTTGAGATATCAGGAGAGGCTCGCTTTTCCCACAGCTCTCCTGACTGATGAGCGTGTCCGCATAGTTCGGCTGCGGGAAGATCACGTGACTCCCCCGAGAGTCCGCGGTGAGCGAGACCTCGTGCGAATAGGTCTGCAGGAAAGCCCGCACCCCGTCCACGCCCACAAACTGAGACGCCGGCACGCCAGCCAACCCGCTGCCCGAAGCCTGGAGCAGACGCGACGTGTGCCAATGCCGCAGTCTGAGCGCCAGCAGCACAATGACAAAGGCGAGGAAGACACAGGAGACCGCGGCCACCGCCACCACCAGGTAGAGTGTGAGGCCGGAGTCGTCAGGGTCCACTGAGGGCTTGAGGCTGCCTAGGTCAGTCAGGACGTCTGGGATGCTGTCAGCCACAGCCACGGTGAGCGTGACGGTGGCCGAGAGAGGGGGCTGGCCGTGGTCCTGGACCGCCACCACCAGGCTCTGCTTGAGCGCGTCTCTGTCCAGCAGCGCCCGCGCTGTGCGCACCTCGCCCGTGTGCAGCCCCACCGCGAAGAGGCCTGGCTCGCTGGCCTTGAGCAGGCGGTAGGACAGCCAGGCGTTCTGTCCCGAGTCTCTGTCCACTGCCACCACCTTGGTGACCAGGTAGCCGGGCTCCGCGGAGCGGGGTGCCAGCTCCACACCGGTAGAACCATCAGTGGGGAGGGCGGGATATAGAATCTCAGGTGTGTTGTCATTCTGGTCCAGCACAAATATGCTCAGAGACACGTTGCTGCTGAGTGGTGGGTCCCCGCTGTCACTAGCAGTCACCAGTAGCTTCAGGTCTCTAACTTGCTCATAGTCAAAGGACTGCAAAGCATACAGGACTCCTGTGTCCTTGTTTATAGAGACGTAGGTGGAGAGAGGCGACCCCTGTAGTGTGTCTTCAGCCAGAAAGTAAGTAACCCTTGAGTTCTGGTTACTATCAGGGTCATGGGCGGTCACAGAGAAGATGGAGGCTCCCCTGGGGTTGTTTTCTGGAATGTAGGCCATGTAGGAAGCATGAGGGAAGGCAGGTGGATTGTCATTGACATCTGCCACGTTCAGTGAGATGTATGTTTCTGTAGACAATGGCGGAGTTCCATGGTCAGTGGCAGTTACAGTGATGTTATATTCTGAGACCTCTTCCCTATCCAGAGCCCTGTGTGTCGACAACCGATAATAATTTCCATAGGTCTTTTCAAGTGTGAATGGCAGGTTATCCAGAATGGAACACGTGACAAGGCCATTCTCTCCTGAATCACTGTCATGCACATTGAAAAGTGCAATTACTGTGCCTGGGGAAGAAGTTTCTTGGATAGAGCTGGTGAGAGATGTAACTGTGACTTCTGGAGCATTGTCATTTACATCCAGAATTGTCACCAGTACCTTACTTCTGGCTCGGAGACCAGGTCCATCGTGGGCTTCTACATCTATATCATAGAATCCAGAGTCCTCATAATCCAAACCTCCCAATATGGTTATGTCCCCAGTAAGAGAATTCAATTGGAATAGCTGGGATATTTTATCTCTTACTTTCCGGAAAGAGTATGTGACTTCTCCATTGGCTCCTTCATCTGGATCAGTGGCTTTTACAGTAAGTAGCCTGGAGCCCACCGTCACATTCTCCCACACACTGATGTGGTACTCGGGCTGAGTGAATACCGGGGCATTGTCGTTGGTATCCACAAGTGTTACAAGAATCCTGGCTGTGCCAGAGTAAACCGGGTCGCCTCCATCAAAGGCGGTCAGAATGAGGTGGTGAACCGCCTCTTCCTCACGGTCCAGGGCGTGCTCCAGTACCAGCTCGGGATACTTAATCCCATCGGCTCCGCTTTGCACGTCTAGGGAGAAGTGGACATTCGAGCTGAGCTGGTAACCCTGTAGGGAGTTTATCCCTATATCCGGATCAAAAGCTTCAGGAAGAGGAAACCTTGTCCCAGGGTTTTCACTTTCAGAGACTTTTATTTCCCTTTGCTCTGCCCCAAAGTCGGGCGCATTATCATTAGTATCAGTTATTTCCACTTCAACTCCAAAAATCTTCACTTTGTCTTCTAAGAGAATCTCTAGGTTTACTACACACTTGGGAGATCTGTCACAGAGCTCCTCCCGATCTATCCTGCCCGCGGTGACCAAGCTGCCGCTTCGCGGGTTCAGAGCAAAGAGCTGCGTCCTACCTCTGGAGACGATGCGAACTCCGCGCTTCGCCAGCTCTCGGGGCTCCAGCCCCAGGTCCTTGGCGATGTTGCCCACTAAGGAGCCCTTCTCCAGCTCCTCAGGCACCGAGTAGCGGATCTGTTCGGCCCGGATTTTCCACAGGGCCCCCAGGAGAACACAGATCCAGATTAGCCAGCTGCAGTTTGGGCAGAAAGGAGACGCCATGACAGCCCCGCGGCGGAATAGCTTGCGCTTGGGTGTTCCCTCGGTGGAGGCTTGGGGATCCCCAGGATCTTTGGGGTCTAGGATAAGGTACTTTCACCGTTGGATGCTGGAGCTCTCGGGGGTCCAGTTCGAAGAAGCTTTCTAAAACCCCAAAGCCAGTGAGTTGTGATGCAGAAATCTTGTGGAACGGATTAAATTCCTGGTTCTTTTTTCCCCTGATTGGTGAACAGCGACACTCAGAGTCCTAACTTGTTACTGCAATCTATTCTTGGTAAAGAAAGGATCGCTTGTACACCATTTCTTTTCCGTGTTCAATTTTCTCCAAAATAATGAAAACCAAACATCTGCTGTTTAATTTGCAGTGAAAATCTATAATTGATACAAATCTTGCTGTACAGTAAGCCTGATAATTTATTTTTTCAGAGACAAGGTTTTTTTGCAAGAATTTTTCTACCTCTTTTAAGTTCGTTGCATTATTTATTCTCATAGCTCAATTTCAATTTGCATTGCAAAAAGGATATGTTTACCCCTCCCAAAAACAAGGTTATACTTGAAGAACAGGAGAATAAATATTTGAAAAGACAGTGTCAAAGAAGTTGGAGATCTGGGCTCTAGTCTCAACCTACACAGAAACAAGTTTTCTCACATGATTGACCCTTAAAATATGGGGCAAGTTTTTAATTCCCTTGTTAGAAAATATCTTACTATTTAAGAGCTAGTTTTACCCCTTTGCAAATGGGCTTGACAAATATGGTAATAGTTTTGGGAAGGATATTTGCTCATTAATTTTATATAAGAAGATTCGAGACCACAGGTTATGTCTGTGAGGATCATGTTCACAGTGAGTCCTCAAACTCTAGAATAGCACATTTTATTGTGTATATACGCGAATAATTTTTCAATGCTTAACAAATGAGTCATTAATGAAGCTGCAAAACCTAAAACAATGCATAGATAACTGATGTTAAAAGAAGTAATAGAAGGTAAAAAGACAGAAAAGTTAAACTGAAGCACTATAAAGGGCATATGGTGTTTCAGTGATCTTCTCCACATTAAGACACATCCAGAAGGTATTATCTTACTATTACTTATAACTTTAGTTTTGATTTTAGAAATAATTGATAAAAAGGAAATATTTTAATAATTATATATATTATCATTGCATGTTTTATAGTCTTCTTATTCATGAATACTTAGAGCAGTTTACTAATCTGAGAAAATTTGAGATAAAGCACCAAGTACTCAGTTCTTTGATTATTACTCACATAATATTTAGTTTCTAGAAATTACTCAAATTTTTATCAGACTCAAAACTCCATTAATTATTCAGAACTTTTAAAATTCTCTGACTTTGGAGAGTAGGTTGAAGGTATTTTTCACAATCCTCAAAAGACCCACAACTTTCTGGGTGTTGGGAGGTAAAATAAAATGTTTTGAAAAACATCTGACTCACTTATCAGAAGTCTATGTTAAAAAATTATGGAAAAGTCTCTGTATACAACAAAATGTCCATTACATTCCTCATTATAGCAGTGACAAAGTAGATAGGGTATAAAAACTATTTAAAGATGGTCAAGAAAATTACCCTTGACAGTTTACAAAATGGGAAAAAAGACCCAAAGTTAGTGATTCAAATATGAAACCTGTCCGTCTTTGCTACATATGATAAAGCAAAAAAGTGCTAAGAGACTTAACTATTGAAGGTTATATTAATACATCACAGAAAAAGATAAACAACAACTAAAATGTATTTGATGAAGATGAACAAAAATTTTAACTTAAGAAAGAAATGTTAGTACATTTACAATCTTGAAAAAAAGGCATATTACACATCAACTATGTAAGGGCAGTGCTATTACTAAGGGCAGTGACAGAAAAAGCTGTTTTTAGCAGGATTTGCTGACGTATAGAAATGCCGAGAGTACAAATTGAGAGGAAACAACTAGTAGTAATTAACCACCAAGACTACTGAGCAATTAGGAAACCAATCTCAACCCATCCAATATACCTCCTCTCACTGCCATCACTAGAACAATGAACAAGGACCAAAATTAATGACGCACTATTGAAAATAAAATACAGCAATAAAATTTAAGTAAGTCTGCAAAACTCACCTGATGGGAAAAAGAGGAATCATAGGCGATTTGAGGGTCTTCATTACTGGTATCTATATCCATAGAAGGATCTTCACCTAGGAGATCCCCAGGGGGAGCCGTTTCCAGGGTCACATTGTGAAAATTAAATTCTGTCTTAGTTGATTGTGAAGCAACGCACAGATTGTAGGAATAGGGCAATGTTCCCTCACTGTAGTGGGGGAGAACCCCAGGTCCAGGCTTGGAACTGAGACCAGGCTTAAAGCAGCCCCAAGCAGTGGGGCTGGAGGAGCCTCGCAGGTGCAGGGCGACCGCCAGAATCACTGCCAGAAGGAAGAGCACAGAGATCAAGGCCAAGGTCACCACAAGGTAAAACCGCAGCTCAGCCTGGGGGTCAGAGGGTGCGGGCCGGTCACTGAGGTCCGGCAGCGCCTCCTGCAGGCTGTCGGCGAAAACCAGGAGCAGCGTGGCGGTGGCCGAGAGGGGCGGCTGTCCCCCATCGCGCACAGCGACCAGCAGGCGCTGGCGGGCCGCGTCCCTGTCGCCCAAGGCCCGCGCCGTGCGCACCTCGCCCGTGCGCAGCCCCACGCTGAACAGTCCGGGCTCGCTGGCCTGCAGCACGTGGTAGGACAGCCAGGCGTTGTGTCCAGAGTCTGCGTCCACCGCCACCACCTTGGTGACCAGGTAGCCGGGCTGCGCGGCGCGGGGCACCGTGTCGAAGAGCGCCGAGCCGTCGGGCCCCAGCGCCGGATACAGCACCCTGGGGGCGTTGTCGTTGCGGTCGCCCACCAGCACGCACAGGCTCACGTTGGAACTGAGCGCGGGCGAGCCGTGGTCGCGGGCCTGCAGCGTCAGCTCGAAGGCGCGCAGCTGCTCGTGGTCGAAGGCGCGTTGCGCGAACACCACGCCGCTCTGCGGGTTCACGGACACGTAGGACAACAGCACGCCGGGCTCCAGGTCGCTGGCCATGATTGAGTAGGAGACGTGGCCATTGGGCCCTAGGTCAGGGTCGGAGGCGCTGACATGCGCGATGGAAGCGCCAGGCGGGTTATTTTCTGCCACGTGGACCACATAGGTGCCCTGGTGGAAAACTGGAGCATTGTCGTTGACATCGCGGATATGTAGGGTGATGCTTGTACTGGAGGAAAGGGCAGGCTTGCCTTTGTCAGTGGCTGCAATGGTGACATTGTACTCTGCCTTCTGCTCTCGGTCTAGGGCACCATCAATCACTAGCTTGTAGTAATTCTTAGAGGTGGATTCTAATTTGAAGGGAACTTCTTCCTGAATATAGCATGTTACCAAACCATTTTGCTCAGAATCCTGGTCTTGCACTTTAATGAGGGCTATTACAGTTCCTAGGTCTGAGCCCTCAGGAATCTGGTTAGAGAAGGACATGAATGTCACCTCTGGGGCATTGTCATTCTCATCAACAATTTCAATCTGAACATTACAGTGAGCCGTGTGTACACCTCCATCCTTGGCTTCAATGCCCAACATATATCTACTTGTCCCCTCAAAGTCCAATGTACCATTGGTTGTGATGTCACCAGTATTTGGATTGAGAATGAAGAGGAGGCTGGTACTTGCTGGGGCATTGAGGAAGGCATAGGTGATTTCTGCATTAATGCCCTCGTCCTGGTCAGTGGCCATCACCTGCAGCACGGAGGTTCCCCGGGGCACATTTTCTTGGAGGCTAACCCTGTAAGTGTCCTGGCTGAACACTGGAGCATTATCATTGGCATCAGTGACCTGTATCCGGATCAGGGTAGTGCCACTTAAAGGAGGGTCCCCACCATCCATGGCAGTCAGGATTAAACTGTGGGAATCCTGCTGTTCTCTGTCCAGAGGTTTTTCCAGCAGTAACTCTGGGTATTTACTTCCATCAGGACTTTGCTTTGTTGACAGAGAGAAGTGCTCATTGTGGCTGATGAAATATTTCTTCAGTGAGTTACTTTCTACATCTGCATCTTGCGCAGAATCCAGAGGGAATTTTACCCCTGGTAAGGCTAACTCAGAGATTTCCAAGTCAATGCTTTTTGTAATGAAATGTGGTGCATTGTCATTAATATCTTGAATTGCAACACTTACATGGAAAATAGTCATTGGATTGTCAGCAACCATTTCAAATTCTACAGTACACTCAGATTTTCTCCCACAAATCTTCTCTCGATCTATCCTGCCACTCACTAGCAAATCCCCATTCTCTGCTCTCAGGCTGAAAAAGTCCTCTGCACTAATCTGCAGTTTTCGAGCTGGCAACTCCTGGACACTGAGCCTTAGATCCTTGGCCAGGTTCCCCACCCTTGAGCCCTTGTCCAGCTCCTCTGCAATAGAGTACTGGATCTGCTGGGAGATTGCCCCGCGCAACAATGACAGCAGGAAGAGAAACAGTACCTGACTTTTCATTGTTTCAGCTTTTCTGAAGCTCCTAAGAATTTCTTGAACTCTCTGGGAAGCTGCTCTTCAAGATGTCTCTGGGATGTTTAAATAATCAACACAGCACCCTGGACTTCTGTGATTTGAGGGTATGACTTGTCAGGCACTTAAGGTTGCACAGGAGGCGCGTCTGCATTCTGATGCATACAGGACAAAGCAAGAAAGAAAACACTTCCGGCCACTCCTGCAGAACTGAGAACGCTTATCTTCCCTTTGGTCAACAGCGGCACCAGGAGGTTGCCTGAGAAAACTGCATATTACCCAACTACCTATTCCTCAAAGTTGTAAGCTCTTGAATCTATTAATATATATCTTGTCTTTTTATTTTTTAGAAAGAACAAACTATTCAGATTTTCCCTTCAAATCTGATACTGTGTAGATTTTCATCATTTAAAAGTTGCCATCATTTTATTCTTCTTTCTTCATTAAAGATTTTCCATAAGGCATACAGCTTTTATTTATTTATTTTTTTTTTTGGAGGGCAAAAATATCTTCAGTGAGTCTACTATATTTATAAACACTGGCATGACTAGTATGGATGTAACTAATTAGATTATTGTTAGTGGATAAAAACATTTAATCTTTGGAAAAAAGAGAAAGTAAAAATCCTAGACTTATTTACTATATCGCTCAACATTTTAAAGTATATGTAACCTTCCCATTAAGTACAAAGGAGCCTGATAGTTTGTTAAAGAGACCAATCTAGTATTTGAGCACACATCTGCTTTTATAAAACTAAATCTCATGTAAGTATATTTATTTTAATGACATCAGTGCTTTTTTACTATATGATTTTATACACAAATACTCCTTAATGCCAATACTCAGTTCCAGTCAATTTACACATTAATAAGTGTAATGTGTAAATTGTGATTTGATCACTGGTAAATCTTTCAGAGGAATTGAAAGTTCTTAGACACTCCCATTTTGAAACTTACCTATACTCCTTAAACCAGTCTTAGGTAAGTAAAACAGACAAACACCTTTATTTCAAATGCACTACCAGATTAGATACCAACCAAACAATTTATTCTGTTACCCTGCGGTGCTAATCCATACTCCTTTTACATTCCAGTCAAGACAGATTATTGTTTTCCTAAGACAGCCTTTCCCTTGTTTGCCCTACTTCGTGTCTTGATACTTTCTGTTCCTTTTATGATAAACCCTCCTCCCCTTTTATTGCAATGAAGTCTTGCCTATCCTTAAAAAATCCTTTCTAGTGAAAATGGCATGTCTGAGACTTCTTATCATCCATGAAAATAGATGCCTTTGTACTCTATGTATTTTCCCAATATATGTGTAGGTTATATTTTACATGAAATTCTTAGAAAATTCTCTTTGAACATCTAAAGTTCCTGTGGCCCTAGCCATTTAATATTTTTTCTCATTATAAGGAAAGTTACATTAGTATCATAAAGATCTTTCCTAACAAATATTCCAAAGGTAATGTGCCTTTTTTCTGTGGTGCATTTGCAGGTTTGAATGAGACTACACCCTTCTCTGTTTTCAGCTATTTTGTTCAGGCCCTTTTGTCACTCACGTTTGAATGTATCCCTTCCTAACACACTGAAGGAGAGATGTACTCCTTTGTTTAAGACCTAATGAAATCTATTTAGGCCTAATTTTGGATGACTCTCTGGTGTAACTTTATGGGTGAAAATAATTTCATAAATTTCAAAATGGGTCAACAATTTATAGCTCAAGAAAGTTGCAGGATGCATGGGACTTCCCTGGTGCTCCAGTGGCTAACATTCCATGCTCCCAACTCAGGGGGCCAGGTTCAATACCATGTAAGAGAACTAGATCCCATATGCTACAAGGAAGATTGAAGATCCTGAGTGCTGTGACCAAGACTCAGTGCAGTCAAATAAATATATAAATATTTTTATAAAAAGTTTTAGGGCTCCTTTTCCATGGTTCGAGTGGATGGTCTGAAAATCTCTTAAAGAGGCTAAGACATATCTCCTTACATTTTATAATCTGTCTCAAAGGACAAGGAATGCCACTCCAAGGCTCACAACTGTTTAGGCAATTGAGCTTCCCACCTTCAGAGAAAAGGCTGAAATCCATATGGATACACACGAATACACACACTTTAAAGTATACCAAGTAGGGGCTACATGCCAGGTAAAAGAATTTTACAAACCTCTATTTTTTACCCTATCATTTTTATGTTATCAGGATGAATCCAGTTTGGTCTGTCTTGGAAGGAGTTAAGCATCATATTATTAGAGCCTAAAATACTATATACTTGTTTATCAGGATAGGCTAGGTAGGTTGAAGTGACAAACTTCATTATCACAGCGATTTAAAATAAAACATCTACTTATCACAGGTATACAAATCAATGTTGAGTCAACCACAGGGCTCTTCTTTCATTGCAGTCATTCAAGGACTTAGATAGGAGGCACAGTCACAATTTCAAAGAATAAGTTAGAGACCTGGTAATTCTTACAATGACAACTAGGATTTCCTCTGGGAAGAGAGTCACATAATCTACTTACAATGTATTGGTCAGAAATATTTACTAGGCCCACTCAGCTACACTAGGCAAGGAAGTGCAGCCCCATCACAATCCCAGAAGAAGAGAAGAATACATTTAAACAAAAGAACCAATGACTACTTCATTGCCTTATTTTCAATTAAATGTGTATTAAAAATTTATAATAACCACAGTGGCATAACTGTCCTTTAAAATATTAAAAGAAAGAAAGAAACTCACCTGGAGCTCGTTGGAGTCACCTTTCATTTCCAGTAAATCTTGAGATATCAGGAGAGGCTCGCTTTTCCCACAGCTCTCCTGACTGATGAGCGTGTCCGCATAGTTCGGCTGCGGGAAGATCACGTGACTCCCCCGAGAGTCCGCGGTGAGCGAGACCTCGTGCGAATAGGTCTGCAGGAAAGCCCGCACCCCGTCCACGCCCACAAACTGAGACGCCGGCACGCCAGCCAACCCGCTGCCCGAAGCCTGGAGCAGACGCGACGTGTGCCAATGCCGCAGTCTGAGCGCCAGCAGCACAATGACAAAGGCGAGGAAGACACAGGAGACCGCGGCCACCGCCACCACCAGGTAGAGTGTGAGGCCGGAGTCGTCAGGGTCCACTGAGGGCTTGAGGCTGCCTAGGTCAGTCAGGACGTCTGGGATGCTGTCAGCCACAGCCACGGTGAGCGTGACGGTGGCCGAGAGAGGGGGCTGGCCGTGGTCCTGGACCGCCACCACCAGGCTCTGCTTGAGCGCGTCTCTGTCCAGCAGCGCCCGCGCTGTGCGCACCTCGCCCGTGTGCAGCCCCACCGCGAAGAGGCCTGGCTCGCTGGCCTTGAGCAGGCGGTAGGACAGCCAGGCGTTCTGTCCCGAGTCTCTGTCCACTGCCACCACCTTGGTGACCAGGTAGCCGGGCTCCGCGGAGCGGGGTGCCAGCTCCACACCGGTAGAACCATCAGTGGGGAGGGCGGGATATAGAATCTCAGGTGTGTTGTCATTCTGGTCCAGCACAAATATGCTCAGAGACACGTTGCTGCTGAGTGGAGGGTTCCCACTGTCACTAGCCGTCACTAGTAGCTTCAGGTCTCTAACCTGCTCAAAGTCAAAGGAGTGCAGAGCATACAGGACTCCAGTGTCTGAGTTTATGGAGATGTAGGTGGAGAGAGGCGCCCCTTGGATGGTATCCTCAGTCAGTGCATAGGTAATGTGGGCATTCTCAATGCTGTCAGGGTCATGGGCGGTCACAGAGAAGATGGAGGTTCCCCTGGGGTTGTTTTCAGGAATGTAGGCAGAATAGGAGGCATGAGTGAAAGCCGGTGGGTTGTCGTTGATGTCTGCCACATGTAGGGTGATGTGTGTGTCTGTGGACAGTGGCGGACTACCCCCATCTGTAGCTCTCAGAGTGATGTTATATTCAGACTCCTGTTCACGGTCCAGAGACCTGGCTGTCACTAAGCAGTAATATTGGTTTATTGATTTTTCTAAATTAAATGGCATATTTCCCAGGACAAAAACTGTGACCTGTCCATTTTGCCCGGAATCCCGATCATGCACGTTGATAAGGGCAATTTCCCTTCCAGCAGCTGACTCTTCTGGAACTGATCCTGTGAGAGAAGTAATTGTAACTTCTGGGGCATTGTCATTCACATCCAGAACTGTGACCAGAATCTTAGCTCTTGAAAGGAGACCTGGTCCATCTTGTGCTTCTATTTTAATTTCATAGAAAGTAGCATCCTCATAATCTAGGTTTTTTAATATTGATAAGTCCCCAGTCACTGAGTTGAGATAAAAAATCTGAGCGATTTTCCCAGGCATTTTATCTAGTACACAGGATACTTGAGCATTGAATCCCTCGTCAGGGTCAGTGGCATTCACTGTGAGCAGCCGGGTGCCTACTGGCAGGTTCTCTTGAACACTTACTCGATACTCAGGCTGGGTAAATACTGGTGGATTGTCATTTGCATCCAGCACTGTCACTTGGATGCCCAAGTTGCCAGACTGCACAGGGTCACCACCATCAGAAGCAATGAGGACAAGTTGGTGAACTTTCTTTTCCTCCCGGTCAAGAGCCCGCTGCAGCACCAGCTCTGGATACTTGGCCCCATCAGTGACACTCTTCACAGCCAGGGAGAAGTAGTCATTGGGGCTGAGCTGATAGTTCAGCAGAGAGTTCGTGCCCACATCTGGGTCAAATGCAGTCTTAAGTGGAAACCGAGTTCCAGGAACTGTTAGTTCACTAATTTTTATTTCTAATTCCTCCATCAGAAAATCAGGAGCATTGTCATTAAGGTCTTTAATTTCTATTTCTACTTCAAAAATGTTCAATTTGTCTTCAACCAGGATGTTAAAACTCACCAGACACTGTGGGCTCTGAGCGCAGAACTCCTCCCGATCTATCCTGTCCGCGGTGACCAAGCTGCCGCTTCTCGGGTTCAGAGCAAAGAGCTGCGTCCTACCTCTGGAGACGATGCGGACTCCCCGCTCTGCCAGCTCCTGGGGCTCCAGCCCCAGGTCCTTGGCGATGTTACCCACGAAGGAACCTTTGTCCAGCTCCTCTGACACCGAATAGCGGATCTGCCCGCATCCGGTCTTGCACAGCGTCCCCAGAAGCACGCATAGCAGGGCCAGTCTTCCGCACTTTCTGAATCTCTGGTAATTGGTCATTTCCGTTTTGGTGAATTATTTTCTCTGAATTGGGTTCCAGTTTCCCAAGGCAGCCTTCAGTCTTATTTTATCAAGGAACTAAGACTTTTGTGGGCCTAATTTATAGGTCACAGAGCTGGCTGACTGACGGGGTGAGCTTTGAGGCAGCCTCGGATCTTCCAAGTGTGATTTGCTGGTTCTTTGCTCTTTGGAAACGAGGAAAAGGACTAGCTCTTCAGTGGCGTTTTCCTTCTTGAGTGGTGAACAGCGACGCTCAGAGGCATAACCGTTCACTGCACCCTCTGACAAATCTAAGTCAGAAATTTTTAAGTTTCCAAGCACCTGAAATTTTTTGCTCAGAGGTAATGGGCCCAGTTTTTGTTTCACATAACTGAACCGCTATATGTTAAAAGATTTAGAGTATCTTCCTTAATAAGCCACGAGTTAACCTGAATGCCACTAATATTGCTTCAAACATGCTGAAGTTATTGTTTTGAAATGTTCAAAGTTTAAGAACTGCACAGAAATATCAGTCATATTTATAAGGTATGCCTCTTGAAATCTTCCCTTCATAGCTTGACATTTTAGTTTCAATATTTTCCATTTAACCCATTCATTAAACACACATATAATTGAGTATCTGACAATATTTGGGGATTTAATGATACAAACACAGCTACTTCCTTCATGGAGTTATAAGGATACAAAAGCAAACAAGGAATTATAGTGCAGTGAGATACTGCCATAAGGTCGGAGGCCAAGGGCAATGAGAGGGCCTCCAACCTGGCCTTGGAGGTTAGCAAAGGGTTTTCCCAAGAAACTTGAGAGGAGTAGATGAGGGAGGGGTAAGGCCTGGATACAAGACAGAATAATATGGCAATACCTAGATGTGAGAGAAAAACCACAGAACTTCAGGGTACTGAAAGTCGTCTGTTTTTCCTGTATTTGTTTTCCTCTCCAAGCACAGTAATAGGAACTCATTTGTCATTTCAATCATGATGCATTATACAGCTATGCATAAGGCATTTATATCATGAAGAATTACTGTATACACTAAAAGGAACTTTGTTTTCAATTTTCCCCAGTTCATACTTTATTTACTTGCAAAATGTTTGTATTATTCCACAGTGAGTGCCAACTTTATCTCAAAGAAAATTATATAATAGTAATAACACAATGTCCCTCAGGTGCCCTTAAACAGTAAAGAATCACAACATCTTGTGCTCGCTTCAGCAACATTCATATAAAGAATCACAACATCTTAAAGAATGATGGCACCATTATATACATGACTGACTTAGTACAGGATTATTTCCAAATAAAAGATGATCCCAGTTACACAGAATAGTAGTGTATTTTTTGTTCTTTGTTATTAAGTATATAACTAACATACTAAAAGCCAACATGGGAAGAGGAATGGGGGAGGAAAACTTGGCTGTAAGGGGGACTGATGTTGGTGGAGGAACTGGAAACATTTTCAACAGCTGCTGTGAGTAGGAAACTTTGAGAAGAGAAATGTAAAAGGAGAATCTTTAGGGGCAATTATTTGATGTGGTCTCTGACTCCCTTGAGGATATATATTATAAAGATATTTATAAAGATAAAAAGGCAATGTTGTTTCCACATATGAGAAAAATAAAAAGTAACAGGGAACAGACACATCTTAACTATTATACAAACCATGTATTATATTAACACAGAAAATGATAACTCAATTACTCTTAAAGGAACACAGCTACTTTAGAGGCTAATGACATTTTGAACTAAACAGAGATTGCATGACATACCTTCCTGAAACATGGTGAAGCATATCTATTCCTAAACACATCTTTAGTAGGGATCATTCAAATAAAAAAATATGAGGAATCTCTGCTAAACAGAAGGAAAAACATAAAGACTGAGATGAAAACAAACAACTACAGTATTTATTAATATTCATAAATACAAATATAAAGCATAAAAGTATTTAATTTTAAAAGAGGGAGACACTTGAGGAAACAAAAGTCAACATTCATATATCTAACAAAGAACTGTTGATTCAGGAGGATTGGGATGGTTTGCTAAGGGATGAGAAAGAAAGTAGGAGAAACCAGATACCCCAGTTCCTAAGGCTTTTTTTAGTTGTTGTTAATGCATTAATTTTTTTAATTGGAGGATAATTGCTTTACAATATTGTGCTGGTTTCTGCCATACATCAACATGAATCAGCCACAGGTATCCATATGACCCCTCCCTCTTGAACCTAAGGCTCTTTTGATAGCCTAAATATCATCTTCACCTACTAATTCCCGATTTATACTAATGACATAATGATTCTAGCTCCTCTTCCCTGTTACACCATGTGAACACTTAGAACTAGTGAGAAATAATACATGAGGACTATTTCTTAAACTGAACATGTCCACAAAGAAATATGGGAAATAAAAAAGGTATGGTAAACTGTGGAGACAGCTAAGTAATTAGGTAAATTTATTTCTTTTAGCAAAGTAACTCACAGGAATATTGAGAAGAGAGTTTACCTGAGAAAATGTTTCTTCTTTATCTTCAGGTAGAAATTGAGGTTCTGAAAGAAAATCCTTTTTCTCACAGCTCTCCTGACTGATGAGCGTGTCCGCATAGTTCGGCTGCGGGAAGATCACGTGACTCCCCCGAGAGTCCGCCGTGAGCGAGACCTCGTGCGAATAGGTCTGCAGGAAAGCCCGCACCCCGTCCACGCCCACAAACTGAGACGCCGGCACGCCAGCCAACCCGCTGCCCGAAGCCTGGAGCAGACGCGACGTGTGCCAATGCCGCAGTCTGAGCGCCAGCAGCACAATGACAAAGGCGAGGAAGACGCAGGAGACCGCGGCCACCGCCACCACCAGGTAGAGTGTGAGGCCGGAGTCGTCGGGGTCCACTGAGGGCTTGAGGCTGCCTAGGTCAGTCAGGACGTCTGGGATGCTGTCAGCCACAGCCACGGTGAGCGTGACGGTGGCCGAGAGAGGGGGCTGGCCGTGGTCCTGGACCGCCACCACCAGGCTCTGCTTGAGCGCGTCTCTGTCCAGCAGCGCCCGCGCTGTGCGCACCTCGCCCGTGTGCAGCCCCACCGCGAAGAGCCCTGGCTCGCTGGCCTTGAGCAGGCGGTAGGACAGCCAGGCGTTCTGTCCTGAGTCTCTGTCCACTGCCACCACCTTGGTGACCAGGTAGCCGGGCTCTGCGGAGCGGGGTGCCAGCTCCACGCCCGTGGAACCGTCCGTGGGGAGTGCAGGGTACAGAATCTCAGGTGTGTTGTCGTTCTGGTCCAGCACGAATATGCTCACAGACACATTGGTGCTGAGGGGTGGATTCCCACCATCCTGTGCTGTAACCCATAACTGAAGTTCATGGAACTGCTCATAATCAAATGAACGCAGTGCGTAGAGGACACCAGTGTCAGAGTTGATGGAGATATATGAGGACAGGGGTGCACTCTGAAGGGTGTCCTCAGCCAAGCTATAAGTTACATGGGCATTGTCGTTGCTGTCGGGGTCACAGGCCTTCACGGAAAAGATGGAGGCACCTCTGGGGTTGTTTTCAGGAATGTAGGCAGAGTAGGACGTGTGGGGAAAGGTGGGAGGGTTGTCGTTGATGTCTGTCACCTGCAGCAAAATGTAAGCATTTGTGGATAGAGATGGGCTCCCTCCATCTTTAGCAGTCACAGTGATGTTGTAAGAGGAAAACTGTTCCCTGTCAAGGACTCTGGTTGTAACCAATCGGTGGTAATTGTCCACTGACCTTTCTAATTTGAAAGGAAGGTTCTCTGGGAGTGAATATGTGATAAATGCATTCTGCCCAGAGTCTCTGTCATGTACATTGAAAAGTGCGATTATGGTTCCTGGAGGAGAATCTTCAGGAATTGAGCTTGTAGCAGTTGTCATGTAGAATTCTGGGACATTGTCATTCACGTCCAGAACTGTGACAATGACCTTCATTCTGGTCAGAAGGCCTGGGCCATCCTGAGCTTCAATATCAATTTCATGGAATTTGGCATCCTCATAATCTAGGCTTTTTGTGATTGTTATTTCTCCAGATGCTGACTTAAGCTCAAATACCTCTGAGGTTTCTGCAGGGTTTTTCTCCAGAAAATATGTCACCTGGGCATTGTATCCCTCATCTGCATCAGTGGCGGTCACTGTAAGTATCCGGGTGCCTACGGGAGTGTTCTCTGGAACACTTACACGGTACTCGGGCTGTGTAAAAACAGGAGCGTTGTCGTTCACATCCAGGACCGTCACGCGGATGCGGGAGGTGCCAGATCTGATAGGGTCGCCCCCGTCCAAAGCCTTGAGAACGAGGTAGTGTACGGCCTCCTCCTCACGGTCGAGAGCGCGTCCCAGCACCAGCTCCGGGTACTTGTTACCATCCACCCCGCTTCTCACGTCCAGAGAGAAGTGGTCATTTGAATTAATTTCGTACTTTTGGAGAGTGTTCTCTCCGACGTCTGCGTCATGCGCGCTCTTAAGAGGGATCCGGAATCCTGGCGTAGTCATTTCACTAATTTTTAGCTCCACTTCCTCTACTCCAAAGCGAGGGGCATTATCGTTAATGTCTTTTATTTCCACTTCTACTGAATAAATACTCAATTTATCTTCCAGGAGTATGTTAAAGCTCACCAGACACCGCGCACTCTGGGTGCAGAGCTCCTCCCGGTCTATCCTGCCCGCGGTGACCAAGCTGCCGTTTCGCGGGTTCAGAGCGAAGAGATGCGTCCTACCTCTGGAGACGATGCGGGCCCCGCGCTCCGCTAGTGCCAGAGGCTCTAGCCCGAGATCCTTGGCAATGCTGCCCACGAATGACCCTTTTTCTATCTCTTCTGGCAATGAATAGCGCATCTGCCCAGCTCCAGCCTCCCACAGGGCCACCCAAAGAAGGCACAGCAAGACAAACCTTCCGCGATGTGGCAAATATAGCAGAGCCGCCATTTCTTGAGCTGCAGTCTTTTCTCCCAGGCAACTTCCAGCCTCCAGCTTGGGATTCCAATCTTTATTCCTCAGGGTCTGAAGTGACCAGCATTCACGGGACCCAGGTCACTGTGGAGAGAACTAGTGGGCTGTTGGACTGAATTTCTTTGCCGCCCCGAACCTTGCGGGCCAAATGCCCAGCTCTTTGTGTTATGGAAATCGTAATGTTGGATTGGAGGTCTCATAGGCTTATTTCTTAGGTAGTCAACAGCGACGCCCTGAGGCCTAAGTAATTTCTGCATTTTCCCAGGCAAATCCAGTTACTTCGTGTTACTCCTGTCACTTTCAAGATGCTTTGAAGAATTTTACAGTTTTAAGGTACCTGAGAGACTGCTCTTTCAAGTCAAGAGTCTTTTTTTTTTTCTCAGAATGAATAAGAATGATGTGAATGAATGTGATCTTGATAGTAGCAAGGAAAGCACTGTTGAACTTTGGAGGCACTAATCAAAGTAGCCTCTACCCTTAAGCTAAACATCTTCAACCTCTTATTCCATATTGGGAGAAAGTAAGATTAATCTAAAAACATTAGCTACATTATATTCTAATGTTATATATTTTAAATTTATGTGCTTAATGGCTTAGTACTGAACTTCAAAACCTGTATTTTTTCCAAAATCTGTATTTAAATTATTGAGTTATCAGACACTTAATTGAGTGACTAACCTTTGCCTGACACTTTGCCTGACTGATGCTGTACACAGAACTGGTGCACCTGATGGACACAGTCCAGTTCTTAAGGGAATTTACATGATAAGGGAGGACACAGTAAACCTAGTATTTTAATAGAGTATAACAAATGCTATGATGGTTGGAAACCCTGGGCAATGGGAGAATACATAGGAAAGATATTCAACCTGGGGGGGGGGGTGGTGGTCAGAAAATACTTTTCAGAACAGGACTGAACCTGGATCCTAAAGGGTATGACTGAATCAAGAAAGAGGCTGGAGTAATGTTCTAGAACCTTAGTACAAATGCTTGGAGTGAGAAGCAGCATAAACATGAAGGAAACTGAAGGTGGTTTGTTCTTCCAAGACTGTTTTGGCTATCTGAGGTCCCTTGATACCCCATGTGAATTTTAGGATAGACTTTTTTCTACTTATAAAAAAGGCACTGGGACTTTGATAGCCACTGAATTGAATCTGTAGATTGCTTTGGATAGTTCTATAAGGTTTTTTTTTTTGGATAGTTCTATAACTTTTTGACAAATATTCTTTGTCAGTTTAAGTACATTTCCTTCAGTTTTCACTTTGTGAAAAGATTTTAATCATGTGTTGAATGTTCTCAAGACCTTTATTATGCCTCTATTGACATGAACAGCTTTTATCTTTAATCTTTTCATATGAAGTTTTATATTAGATTTTCTTATACTGAAATATTCTTGCATCCATAAGTAATAAACCCAATTTAGTCACAAGCCATAAATATTAAATATAGTAGATAGGACTTTGAATCAATTCTTTAGCAAGATGGCACACTTCTGGTTTCATTTCAGTCTTTTTGCCTTTTGAGTTCTTCCCTGTTTCTTCATTTTCAATCCATTCCTCTGAGAACACTGATGAAATATTTATTGGAAACAATTCTTATCAACTCACCATGTTTTCTAGTAGAACCTCTGGTTTGTATCCTAAAACTTTCTTCAACACTCTTTTGATACTTTTGAGTCTCATTAAGTAACCACTTGACATCCCTTATTTGCAGTTTCTCTAAAGATTTTTCTGTTTCTTTGTCTTTGACAAGGTTTGGTTTTACACAGTATATTATTTCCCACTCATACTTCTTGCTTAGTATTAAGCTGTTTTATTTTTTCCCAGTCTCACTTGGTTTTCCTTCTCTTTTCCCAGGTCTTTGTCTATAATCAGAATTTTGGGTCTTCTTTTAAGATCTCTAAAATGAATTTTACTCCTGCTATCTACCTAGCCAATATTAGTCCCAGCACTTGACTTGACAGAAGATTCAATTTCTCCCCATTAGTGTCAGCTTCTATTGCTTCACCATCAGAATTCTTCCTGGTTTGCATTTCAATAATTTATACTCTGCTTCCCTTTCCTGTTTTTTTCTTTATAGTGATATTATATATTTCTTGCTTTATTTCTTGATTGTCGAGCTAACTTCATTAATTTTAATAATTTGCTTTTTGAAATTCTTATGGTTGTCTATAAATGTAACCCTAAATATCTTTTAGAGGCATTCCACAATTTTAAATAATATTTTAATTTTTGAGTTTTTATTTCCATTGTGATTTTTAAAATCCAATAGTAGTTTAGTGGTATAGATTTAAATGCTCATTTTGTTTTCTTTTAAAGTATTTGCTTTGTGATTTTTTCCAGCTTTATAATTTTAAATAAAATTTTAAGATACTTAAAGTGTACAACATGATGATTTGCTATATATACACTGTGAAAGGATTCCTCCTCCTGAGCTAATAATACATTCATCACTTCACATACTTACCTTTGTGTATGTGTGAGAGAGAATTAAATTACACTCTTAGCAAATTTCTATTATACAATATAATGTTATCAACTATAGTCTCCACTCTATATATTGGGTCCTACGGCCTTATTCATCTTACAATGCAAGGTCTGTACCTTTTTATTATTAATACCTCTCCCCTATCCCCCACCACCCAATTTATAATTTAAGCATATGTTATAAAGCATGTATATTATTGGTACTTTGAAATTTTCTCTGCTGTTTTTTGTGCATGTGATGATTATGTATTAAATTGTTGTAGAGTCTCCATATTTTCATATAAAAGTGGTTATTCTATATTTGTTGTGTATAACATTGTATACAGATTTGTCCGATCAAGGTAAGTCCAAGACCAGAATTCCCACTTTAGTGTTAGCCTGGCTCACCACTTTCTGTCCATCTTTGGTCCATTTAGATATTTATTTTTATTTGTGCCTTATTATGCTTTTTTCATTTTATATTATATGTATATCTTTAATTTAGTGGAACAGAGTATTTTAAAGGATGAACTTACTTATGATGCATTTCTTGTGAAGAGCTAATACATTAAAGTGAAATATATATTTGATTTTTGTTAGTTGTTTACATTACAGGCATAATATACAAGTCAGGAGGCTTCAAACTATTTCTCACGTTGCACAGGAAATTTTCTGTCATCTATTTTATTACTTCATTTTGTAACTTACTTAAACATTTGGTATATTCTTGAGTGTGCATAAAACATATTAAAAAAAACCCCGCTAAACAAAGGGCTAAGATATTCAACAATAGTTTAAATTTTCAGCTTACCTAGATTTCCATAATTTTATGTTAATACAACTTAAAATACTACTTTAGACAATCTTTACCTCTTAAAATATTCCCAAATAAGACAGCACCCCAACAGATGACAGATACGTTAAATTTAGGAGTAGATGAGGAGATATTTATAATCTAAGGATATCCAAAAACAGAATCAGTCACATAAATATTTGTAGACCTAGTCAAACTCAATCATTGTCAGATAAGAGCATGGTAAAGAAAAAATTACTTGGCCAGAAGCAAGCAAGAAAACATTAAAAGCCAAATCTCCTTGTTTCTGATGCAATGCTCTTTCCACAACTCTGTCCCAACCAACTACATTATGATTAATTACGATCTCCTTTTCAATGAAAGAACAATTATAAATATACTTGGATAGAAACACTTAATAATGATTTCCCAGGATCTGTAAATATAAACACAAAGACAAAGACAAACACAAAGACCGGAAATAGAGACTTTTTAGCAGTAAAGAGTGAAAGCAAGTAAGTAAACACAGAAATCATTTTTATATAGATAAATTTACTACAAAAGATTTACCTGAGAAAATGTTTCCTTTTTATCTTCAAGTAAAGACTGAGGTACTGACAAGAAATCTTTTTTTTCACCGCTCTCCTGACTGATGAGCGTGTCCGCGTAGTTCGGCTGCGGGAAGATCACGTGACTCCCCCGAGAGTCCGCGGTGAGCGAGACCTCGTGCGAATAGGTCTGCAGGAAGGCCCGCACCCCGTCCAGGCCCACAAAGTGAGAGGTGGGCAAGCCTGCCAATACACTTGCTGACGTCTGCGCACGCAGTCTGTGCCAGCGTCGCAATCTGAGCGCCAGCAACGCGATGACAAAAGCGAGGAAGACGCAGGAGACTGCGGCCACAGCCACTACCAAGTGCAACGTGAAGCTGGAGTTGTCCCGGTGGGAGGAAGTTTCAATGCTGTCCAAGTCGGCCAGCACTTCTGGAATGCTGTCAGCAACAGCCACAGTGAATGTGATGGTGGCCGACAGAGGGGGCTGGCCGTGATCCTGGACCGCCACCACCAGGCTCTGCTTGAGCGCGTCTCTGTCCAGCAGGGCCCGCGCTGTGCGCACCTCGCCAGTGTGCAGCCCCACCGAGAAGAGTCCTGGCTCGCTGGCCTTGAGTAGGCGGTAAGATAGCCAGGCGTTCTGTCCGGAGTCTTTGTCCACTGCCACCACCTTGGTAACCAGGTAGCCTGGTTCTGCAGAGCGGGGTGCCAGCTCCACACCGGTGGAACCATCTGTGGGGAGTGCAGGATACAGGATTTCGGGTGTGTTGTCGTTCTGGTCCAGCACAAATATGCTCAAAGACACATTGCTGCCGAGTGGTGGGTCCCCGCTGTCACGAGCCATCAATCTCAACTGCAGGTCCTGGAACTGCTCATAGTCAAACGATCGCAAGGCATATAGGACTCCAGTGTCTGAGTTGATGGAGACATAGGAGGATAGAGGCACTCCTTGGATGGTGTCCTCCAGCAGGGAATATGTGACCTGTGCATTCTCATTACTGTCAGCATCATGGGCTGTCACGCAGAAAATGGAGGCACCTCTGGGGTTGTTTTCTAGAATGTAGGTGGAGTAGAAGTCCTTGGGGAAGACAGGGGGGTTGTCGTTGATATCTGTCACTTGAAGTGAAATGTGCGTTTCAGTAGATAGAGTCGGAGTTCCCTGATCTGTGGCTGTTATTGTAATATTGTACTGGGAGGTAAGTTCTCTATCCATTGTTTTTTCTGTCACCAAACGGTAATAATTATCATCTAACTTTTCTAATTTAAAGGGTAGATTTCCAGAAATGGAACATGAAGTTTGACCATTGTCTCCAGAGTCCTGATCATGCACACTGATAAGAGCAATTATGGCCCCAGGAAGAAAGTTTTCTGGGACTGAAGTGGTGACAGAGGTGATGGTTACCTCTGGGGCATTATCATTTATGTCCAGAACTTTGACCAGCACCTTAGCTCTGGCCATGAGGCCTGCACCATCCTGAGCTTGAATTTCCATTGGATAAACTGTGTATTGTTCAAAATCCAGAGGTTCTTGACTTGATATTTCTCCCGTGTAAGAATCCAAGTGAAATATTTGTGCCATTTTGTGGTCTATATTATGAAACGAATATGTTACTTCCCCATTGGCACCTTCATCTGGGTCCATGGCTTTTACCATGAGCAGTCGAGTGCCCAGAGGCACGTTCTCAGGTACACTCGTGTGGTACACTGCTTGTGTAAACGCTGGAGGGTTGTCATTTACATCCACCACCTGAACTCGAATTCGGAGGGTTCCTGAACGGGCTGGGTTGCCCCCATCAAAAGCAGTGAGGAGGAAGTGATGGACAGCTTCTTCTTCCCTGTCTAGGGGACTCTGCAGCACCATCTCCGGCTGTTGGGACCCATCAGATCCCTGTAGAGCATCCAGGGAGAAATGAGGGTTGGAGCTGAGCTGATAGCTCTGGAGCGAATTCATACCCACATCAAGGTCTTGCCCAGAAGGCAGGGGGATCCTGGTACCTGGAGCAGTTATTTCATTCATTTTAAATTCCACTTCTTCTAACTGGAATTCGGGAGTGTTGTCATTAATATCAATTATTTCCACTTCAACAGGGAAAAGCTTCATTTTATCCTCTACTAAGACGCTAAAACTCACCAGACACCGCGCGCTCTGAGCGCAGAGCTCTTCCCGGTCTATCCTGCCCGCGGTGACCAAGCTGCCGCTTCGCGGGTTCAGAGCAAAGAGCTGCTTCCTACCTCTGGAGACGATTCGGACTCCGCGCTCCATCAGCTCCTGGGGTTGTAGCCCCAGATCCTTGGCGATGTTGCCCACAAAGAAACCTTTGTCTGTCTCTTCTGACACCGAGTAGCGGATCTTCCCAGCCTGGGCTTCCAACAACAGCCCCAGAAAAAGGAACAGTAGGACCAGCCTGCGGCAGCCGAGCACCTTCACTCGAATCGCCATTGCTCTCTTGCTTCGTATTCTCTCAGTCCGGCACCAAGAGTATTGTTTCCCTGCTCTCTGAGTCTAAATTAACAAAATTTAGAATTTTGAGCAATTTTGAGAATTCAGAGCAGAAAGTGGTCCAGAAGTATGATCAGGGCAGCTTCAGAGAGACTTTTCAATCCGGCAGTGATGGTGGTTCTAAGAAGTCCCCCTCCCACCCTGGGTGTCTGTGTGCTGCCTTCATCTTCCAGACTGGTGAACAGCGGCACCCAGAGTCCTAACCAGTTACTGCACTCCTAGATAATACTTGAACTTTCTCTTATTCAGCTGATCTATGTTTCCTTAAGTCTTAGTTTATTGTCAAGAAACTCGCTAAGATATTAACACTATGAAAAGGAGAAACTACTATGTTCATTAATTACTTACATCTACTTTTTGCTAAATTGTAACATACAGTAGAATCCAAGCTCTGTTGGATACTCCAGTAGTATTCCCAAATTACCTGAGAATTCCCAAGCATTCCCTGTTTGCTATTCAGGAAATAACACAAAGTAGACTAATCATCCCTCTACCTCTGGAGTGTATGTTGACCACCTGGTCATTTCACAGGCCATAGAGAAGAGTAACTGCCCTTTGACTAGAGGATGAAAAAAAAAAAACTAAAAGGAAAAATAAATTTTCAGAGTGTAAGCAAGACTTTAATACATTGGACTGTCCTATATCCTATATGTTGTGCTCTGAATATTTAGCAGAAATCTTGGGAGTTTTGAAGGACATATTTTTTACTCCATCCTATTTTTCTTTTATTGTAGTATCTATGTATTATGTGGATTTAAAAAGACCTTTAATATGGACATTAAAAAGACCTTTAAATCAGCTGAAAGTAATTTATTTTGAATAAAGTAACACTGGGCTGGCACTTCCCTGGCAGTCCAGTGATTAACACTCTGTGCTTCCTCTGCAAGGGTCATGGATTCGATCCCTGGTCCAGGCACTAAGAGTTGTGGCCAAAAAACCAAACCTAACCAAACAAAAAACACTGGGTTCTTGACATTTCATTGGAAAAATGTCACAGGAATATCTAATTTAGACTTTAAGAGAGACAAGAGGCAGTGATATTATTTTTCAAAACTGAAAATAAAAATACCACATCTTTATTTTTAGATAGTCTGTATTAGAATAACATGTATTTTCCTACATCCACACTTAATACATTCTCCAAAAGAAGTTGGTTTTCTAAAATAGCAAGATTTTAAAACTATACTGCCTTCCTTCTTTTACTCATTGCAAAATTAGTAAATGGTTACTAACTAAAATGTCTCAGACTTAGTGTCATTTATTTAAACTTACACAAAAGTTAAGAAAGAATGAACTCTGCATTCTAGAGGCTGACATTTTTCAGGAACAAATTGGGCAGATATTGGCAGCCAACCCATGGACACTGTGACTGAGAAGGGTCTGGAAAATGATGAAAGAAAGGAAACAAAGGCCAGAATAGTTCTTGGGAGAGAGAATCTATGTTCTTATATAACCAAATCTACACTTTTCCACTTCTCAAAGACAAGTATAATGGAGCCCAAGAGCAGAAACTTAAAGATGCCATGAACTTCCTTCAATATTTCAAAAAAAGAACTCTTCAGCAGGAAACATAATTTCTCAGACCATACATTAATAGGCACAAAATTTTGCCCAAAGGAATTTTCTGGCTAATGAAACAAATCAAAATATACATAGAAACTAGCAAGTGAATTTGTAGAGCTCCCCACACCCCTAAAGACAACAAAAGTAAGCAGAACTGCTTACAGCAGGATATTTATGAAACAAAAGTGTTAAAATTCACACATATACATTTGAATCCAACGTAATATTTAAGGCTTCACTGATGGTACTACAGAAACAATCCAGTTAAAAGGTTTCCGAGTTAATTTGAAGAAATTAAGATCGCAAGATCTGAAGCCAAGCTGTATATTGACAGTAGGAATAGGGCAAATCTCTCCTGCTAAAGTGGGAGCAACTCCAAATCCAGGTTTGGACCAGGCTGAAAGCAGGGCTGGAAGAGCAGTGCAGGTACTAGGCTATGGCCAGAGTCACTGTAGGAAGAAGAGCATGGAGATCAAGGCCAAAAGGCCATAACCAGGTAAAACTGCAGCTCTGGTAGGGGGTGCTGGGTGGTCACAGAAGTCTGTCCACAGCTCCTGCAAAGACCAGCGGCAGTGTGACGAATATTGTCATGGAGCACAGTGACCAGCAAGTCCCCAAGAGCAACATCCCTGTCATCCATAGTGCCCCAGTGGGCATCTCACTCGTGGGCATCCTCAGGTTGAAGAGTCGGATCAGGCGGTCTGAAGCACCTGACAGGACAGTCAGGTGTTGTGCCCCAGTCAGTGGCCATCTTGGCGACCAGGCAGTCGGGCTGCACAGTAAGCAGTGCCCCACTGAAGAGGGACACAACTTCCAGGTGCAACTCCCAGCATAGCGAGTGTTCTTGAAGTTTTGGCAGTGGTAGTCCATTATTACAGGCTTACTCAGGATGTCACTGAGCCCTGGTCAGGGGGCGCAGTGTCAGCTCAAAGGTAGGCTGCAGTGAACACCATTGTGCTCTACACTCACTGACATGTCAGACAACAGCACCAGGTCACTGGTCAGGAAAAACAGGATGCACCTAGGGCACCAAATTTGAATTGGAAGCACTAAAGTGTGCAATGGGTGGGGCGCTGGGTGAGTGCTCTCAGTCTCCTGGACCATACAGTAGACCTGTTGGAAAACTAGAGCGTTTTTGCTGACGTGGGTTATATTCAGGCTGATGCTTGTGTGGGAGGAGAGGGACAGCTTGTCCTTGTCAGTTACCTTATAATTCCAAGTCAGCCCCCAGTTCAGAACTTCATCTGCCAGTGGTTTACAAAGAATTACTAATTCTTACTGGTGAATTGTTTGGCACTCTGTTTATTACTCTCTACAATATCTTTCACTGCTCTCTTCAAGCAAGTCTCTGAGTCCTGTTGTTTTGATTACATCAACTATAATTCTTTTCTCTAAAAGGACTAAACATTCAGCTGAAAGTCACCTGCACTGCATTATAGTTCTCAACTCCATTTCAACCAGGATTGTGAAAAAGGCCCTTAACTGTCCCCAGTCTTCTCTTCTATGCTGTGATGTAACTGTCACTCTTCAAAATCAAAGACAGTGCCATCATTATGGAATATATTCTGTATGCCTGGTGAGACTGTGAAAAGTGCAGGAGAACTCTACCTTAAGGGTGTCATCTAGGTCCGCAGAGATCACCTGAAGAATGCAGACAAGGAGGTTCTCTTGTAGCTCAGTACGGGAGGACTGGCTTTGGCATCCAAGACCTGCATCTTCCCCTGAATCTCCTCTTAACCACTAAGTGATGACAGCTCTGCTACACTGGTCCAGATTTTCCCAATAAATAACCAGAGAATTTACTGCCCCAGTGTTTTCTTTTACTTTTGGCAGTGAGAGAGCTGTCTAACTGAAACTAATCTGATAAACTTGTAGAGAATTACTGTGGCATCCACATCTACTGCAGTTTGGAAGTAAAATTTGCACCTATTAAGATAATTTCCAGAATTTTCAAAACAAAATGGCTGTGCTCAAAGCCATATGTTATTTATGTCTAGCGTAAATTGTTGTTGGTTAGTTGCTAAATCATGTCCTACTCTTTTGCAACCCCATGGACTATAGCCCACCAGGCTCCTCTGTCCATGGTATTTCCCAGGCAAGAATACTGGAGTGTGTTGCCATTTCCTTCTCCAGGGGATCTCTTCAACCCAGGGATCGAACCTGTGCCTCCTGCATTGGCAAGCAGATTGTTTACCATTGAGCCACCAGGGAAACCCTACTTTATAGAAATAGTTTACATAAAATATATAAATATGTAAAATATAAATATAAAATATGTATATAAATACTTTTATTATATAAAAGAATTTCCAGTGATGGTTTCAGAATTCAAGGGTCCTAGGGACTCCCTTTGGCCTATTGGCTAGGTCTATCCTGTCATTCTTTTGCTCCTCCCAGCTCCTTGCTCAGCACTCACCCATGGCTCTGGTCACCGAGAAGTAGATCTTCGGTGCGAATCCCCACTTTTAAATCCTTGGCTACGTTTACGGAAGGAATCTCACAGTGCCTCTGTTGAGCAGTTCACTAGGTTGAACAAAGACATCGAGAAAGGAAAGAGCCCTTCCTTCGCTCCCGCGTCTTCCCTGTAGGGAGACTTCATTTCTTCTTGATGCTGCTTTGTAGGTCTGAATACACCTCACTACAGCTGCTCCTCGGATTACCAAAGTACGCTGGAAAGAAAAGGCAGCGGCTCTTTCTCACCTTCTAGACCCAGATATCTGGAGCAGATTGCGGGAGAGATGATGTGCAGAGTCTGCTCCTGGTGCATTTCTCAAAGGTCTGCGGACATCGCTGCGTCAGAATCGCTAGTGGATCCCTTTGTTTCACTCCAGCCACGGATTGGCCGACAGCGGCACCCAGAGGTCCAGTAGGATATCTACCGCTTGTTATTCCTGAAAGTTCTCCTTTATTTCCGGGATTTATTCTAAAATACCAGTTGGTTCAGTTTAAGGCTACAAGTCACTATTTCTTTTTGACAAAATATTAATAAAATGGTTTTTCTACAAATTTAAAACAAATGTTTAAATTTATTAAAATTCACATCAGCTTAAAATTTTTACACAATTTCCCTCTTGACATTTTCTTTTGAAGAATACCACTGAAGTTTCTTTTTCTTAAACATTTTTTACTCAAGAAATTATCCATTGTAAAAACAACTTTACATTAGAAAAGGAAGTTCTCACCTTATATAATATAAAAGAAATCACCACTATAAAAAGTAGAAAATATTGACAAAAAATTTAAAGTATCAGTAATTGCATTATTCAACTACGATTTTACATAAAACATAAAATTTACCAACATAACCATTTTAAGTGTACAGTTTAGTAGTATTAAGTACATTCATAGTGTCATGCAACTATCACAATTATCCATTTCCAGAATTCTTTATCTCATAAAACTGAAACCGTCTACCCATTAAATGGTAATTCTTCATTCTCCTCTTTCTCCAGCCCCTGGCAAACATCATTCCACTTGCTGTCTCTATGATTTTGACTATTCTAAATAACTCATATAAGTGGAATCATATAGTATTTGTCTTTTTTTTACTTATTTTACATAGCATAATATCCTCAAAGTTCATCCGTGTTGCAGTATTATGTCAGAATTTCCTTCCTTTTTAAAAAGAGTGTGAGGTTCCTAAAAAAATTAAAAACAGAACTACCACATGATGCAGCAATTCCATTTCTGGGTATGTTTCTGAAAATAACCATAACAACAACAACAACAACACTAATTTGGAAAGATTAAGCACCACTATGTTCACTGCAGCACCATTCACAACAGCCAAGATATGGAAGCAACCTAAGTGTCCAACAATTAATGAATGGATAAATAAGATGTGGTGTACATATATGTACATATGGCATATGTACACTGCCACAAATAAGAACAAAATCTTGGGCTTCCCTGCTGGTCCAGTGGTTAAGAATTGTCTTGCAATGCAAGGGACACCGTTCCATCTCTGGTCCCAGAAGATCCCACATGCTCTGCAGCAACTAAGCCTATGTGCCACAACTACTGAAGCCCTTGAACATGCTCTACAATAAGAGAAGCCAGGGAAATGAGAAGCCCAAACACCACAATAAAGTTTTGCTCCCAAAACAAGAGAAAGCCCAACTGCAGCAATGAAGAGTCACCATAGCCAAAAAAATAAATAAATAAATCTTTTTAAAAAATCTTGCCATTTGCTACAACATGGATGGACATAAAGGATATAATGCTAAGTGAAGTAAGTCAAACAGAAGAAGACAAATCCCATTTGATTTCACTTATATGTGGAACCGAAAAAAGGAAAACGTAAAACAAACGGATGCATAGATACAAAGAACAATCAGGTGGCTGTCACAAGGGTGTAGGGATGAGTAAAATAGGTGAGGGACATTGAGAGGTACAAACTTCCAGTTACAAAATAAACGAGTCACAAGGATGAAATTGATAGCATGGGGAATGCAGTATAGTCAATGAAATCATAATAACTTTGTATGGTGACAGATGCCAACTCGACTTACAGTGGTGGTGATTATTTTGTAATGTACAGAAATACTGAATGACTATGTTGTACACCTGGAACTAATATAGTGTTGTAGGTTAATTATATTTCAATTAAAAAAAAGAATTTCCTTCCTTTTTAAAGCTGAATAATATTTCATTGTATGTACACATACTACATTTTGCTTATGTATTCACTGGTTGATAAATACCTTGGGTGTATCTAACTTTTAGCTATTGTGAATAATGCAGCTATGAACAAGGGTGATAAAGATCTCTTACAGACCCTGCTTTCAGTTCTTTAGGGTATATACACAGAAGTGGAATTGATGAATCATATAGTAATTCTATTTTTAATTTTTTGAGGAACCACTGACAGTTTTTCACAGTGGCTATACTATTTTACATCATTCCCACCAACAGTACATAAGGGTTTCCTGATTCTATATCCTTGACAATATTTATTATTTTCTGTTCTTTTTGTAGCAGTCATCCTAGTGGGTGTGAGGTAGTACCTCACTGTTGTTTTCATTTGCATTTCCCTAATAATTAGTAATGTTAAGCATCTTCTAATGTGCTTATTGGCCATTGTGTCCTTTTTGGAATTATATATATATACTATTATAATCCTCCTAATAATCTGCTCTCTCATGGATACTACTGATCACCTCTATAGACTGAACATTTATGTCCCCCTGCAAAAAATTCATATGTTGAAACTTAATCAATGTGATGGTATTGAGAGCTAGGGCTTTGGGGAGGTGATCAGGTCATGAGAGTGGAGTCCTCACAAATGGCATTAGTGCCTCTGTAAAATGGGCCACAGAGAGCTCCCCCACCCCTTTCACCATGTGATGTTACAGCAAAAAAAGACTATCACCTATGAACCAGGAAGCCTGCCCTCATCAGACACCAAAGCTGCCACTGCCTTTTTCAGACTTCTCAGCCTTCAGATCTGAGAAATAAACTTCCATTGATTATAAGCCACTCAAGTTACGGTATTTTGATACAGCAGCCCAAATAGACTATGACAATTGCCATGCCCTTTCCTCTCTACTAACACTTCCTTTTTAGAGGGCCACCCTCTGTGTACTTAAGGGGCAGCTGAACCTATTCACAGTGACAGTAGGTTCTGACAGGCCTAAGCCAATACTGGTGATCTCATTCCTCTTGCCAGTATTTAGTTAGGAATATGGCTTAAAACAATTAATAATTAAAAAATAGTCCTAGTGTGGGACTTCCCTGGTGGTCTAGTGGCTAAGAATCCACCTTGCAATGCAGGGCACATGGGTTCAATCCCTGGTCTGGGAAGTAAGACCCCAAAGGATGCAATGAAGATCCTGAGTGTGGCAACTAAGACCCAACACAGCCAAGTAAATAGATGTCTTTTTAAAAACCATGAGTTACAAAATGGATTAAAGATCTAAATGTAAGACCAGAAACTATAAAACTCCTAGAGGAAAACATAGGCAAACACTCTCCGACATAAACCACAGCAGGATCCTCTATGACCCACCTCCCAGAATATTGGAAATAAAAGCAAAAATAAACAAATGGGACCTAATGAAAATTAAAAGCTTCTGCACAACAAAGGAAACTATAAGCAAGGTGAAAAGACAGCCTTCAGAATGGGAGAAAATAATAGCAAACGAAGCAATGGACAAAGAAGTAATCTCAAAAATATACAAGCAACTCCTGCAGCTCAATTCCAGAAAAATAAAAGACCCAATCAAAAAGTGGGCCAAAGAACTAAAAAGACATTTCACCAAAGAAGACATACAGATGGCTAACAAACACATGAAAAGATGCTCAACATCACTCATTATCAGAGAAATGCAAATCAAAACCACAATGAGGTACCATTTCACGCCAGTCAGGATGGCTGCTATCCAAAAGTCTACAAGCAATAAATGCTGGAGAGGGTGTGGAGAAAAGGGAACCCTCTTACACTGTTGGTGGGAATGCAAACTAGTACAGCCACTATGGAGAACAGTGTGGAGATTTCTTAAAAAACTGGAAATAGTACTGCCACATGACCCAGCAGTCCTGATGCTGGGCATACACACTGAGGAAACCAGATCTGAAAGAGACACGTGCACCCCAATGTTCATCGAAGCACTGTTTATAATAGCCAGGACATGGAAGCAACCTAGATGTCCATCAGCAGATGAATGGATAAGGAAGCTGTGGTACATATACACCATGGAATAGTACTCAGCCATTAAAACGAATTCATTTGAATCAGTTCTAATGAGGTGGATGAAACTGGAGCCTATCATACAGAGTGAAGTAAGCCAGAAAGAAAAACACCAATACAGTATACTAATGCATATATATGGAATTTAGAAAGATGGTAACAATAACCCTGTATGCGAGACAGCAAAAGAGACACAGATGTTTTGAACAGTCTTTTGGACTCTGTGGGAGAGGGCAAGAGCAGGATGATGTGGGAGAATCGCACTGAAACACGTAAATTACCATATCTGAAATGAATCGCCAGTCCAGGTTCGATGCATGATACAGGATGCTCGGGGCTGGTGCACTGGGATGACCCAGAGGGATGGGATGGCGAGGGAGGTGGGAGGGGGGTTCAGGATGGGGAACACACATACACCCATGGCGGATTCAAGTCAATGTATGGCAAAACCAATACAATGTTGTAAAGTAAAATAAATAATTAATTTAAGAAAAAAAAATAAAATAAAAACCATGAGTTAAAAAATAACAAGCTTAGGGCAAGGTTTCTCAACCCTAGTACTACTGCAATATTTTGAGTTAGATAACTTTGTTGTAGGGAGGATGTTTTATGCATCGTAGGATATTTAGCAGCACCCATGAGATGCCAGTAGATCCCACAGGTGCAACAATCAAAACGTCCCCAGACACCAGTGAATGTCTCTTCCTCCCCACCATTTTGAACATACAGGCTTAAGGTATTCCCCTGGTGACTATTATTGAGCCAGGGATAGGCATATGATCTAAACTGGTCCAATCAAACAGAAAGACAGATTTTGGTTGGAAAGAACCACTCTCTGGACTTACCGTGGACAAGGAAGGAAGGTCCTCAGTTACTGCTGGCAGGTTTCTTATGACCACAGACTTTGGAAGTTTACAAGGAGGTAAGGGTGGCTGAAAAATAGGAAAAAAAATAAATATTCACTCTCCAAAATTAGCAACAGTTAAACAATTCATGCCAGACCATGATTCTATCCTGCCTAGAGGCAGCCATACTTCTGGAACTACACTGTCTGATACTGTAACCACCCACCCACATGTGGCCATTGGGCCAGTGGCTAGTCCAAACTAAAATGTGCCTTAAGTGTAAAATACACACCTGATTTTGAAGATTCAGTAAAAAATGAGATTATAAAATATATCATTAATAATTTTACACTGATTACATGTTTAACAATATTTTTGATAATTAGGTTAAATAAAATGCTATTGAAATTAATTTAATATGCTTTTTTTTTGCATTTTAATGTGGCTGCTAGGTAATTTAACATACATATGTAGCTTTCACCTGTGGCTCACATTATATTTCTTTTGGATAGAGTTACTCTAGACTACCTGGTTTTTGAGATAACACATTTTCTTATTGTTTAAACCAGTGTAGGTTGACCTTTTTCCTATAGAAACTTCCTGTTTGATAGAAGAGGCTGCTACATTATTGTTACCCTGCTTTTTACTGATTATATACTGCTGGAACAGTATATAAGGTGTATTTTGGGGGCATTTGCTATTTCCTCACTCCTATAATTTTCAGTTTCCAAAATATAAACAAGGCTTCTCCCAACACCCACAGTTTTTTAACCTCCATAGTATAAGGAACTTGAAAGTTTATTAAAAGGAATTTTCAAACATATAGCACTAGCCTGATTGTGATACTCGTTTATCACAGGTAGGAAGCCCTTTGAGGCTTATTCCCACAGTGGGCAACTTATTGCTTCACCCAAATATTTGCATCACTAGTATCACAGATATTCTATGCAACAACCACAGGAGTGTAGTTCTTTTATCAACTCAATGGTTTCTATATATCAAATGGATTTGATGAAAACAAAAACTGAATTTATCAATAGACATAAGGTAATGGTGATATTGCAGTACCCTTAGCTATAGGATCAGTGTAATTACCCCTTATAGACAGCATTCAGAAAATGTATTAAACTCAAAGGCAGAAAATATGTTTCACAATTGAAGGAGGTAGATACTTTTGGGGAAACTTCAGTTGATTCTTTTAATTATCTCTGACAACCTTCTATTTCAAGGTTTACTAACTGAAATAGATCATAATTTTGGAAAATCTAAATTGCCCAGAATTTATCTCAAATTATTTTCTGTGACAAAGATATTTGAGAATCATAAAACTCACAGGCAATTGAAATGCAAAGCAATATTTGGATTATTTTCATGTATAAGCATGGCCAGCCTCAGATTTTATAGGATTAAATAAAGCATTGTGCAGAGGCTGGCATGTTAAACTCATATCCATGAGTTAACCAAAATTGGGTACAATTAAGGGACTAGCACATTGGAAACATTTCTTCAGAAACAGGAAATAGATCATCCTGGAAATTATATATACATCAGCATGGACCTGCTGCTTGAGAAACCTGTATGCAGGTAAGGAAGCAACAGTTAGAACTGGACATAGAACAACAGACTGTGGCTCCAAATAGGAAAAGGAGTATGTCAAGGCTGTATATTGTCACCCTGCTTATTTAACTTATATGCAGAGTACATCATGAGAAATGCTGGGCTGGAGGAAGCACAAGCTGGAATCAAGACTGCCAGGAGAAATATCAATAACCTCAGATATGCAGATGACACCAGCCCTATGGCAGAAAGTGAAGAAGAACTAAAGAGCCTCTTGATGAAAGTGAAAGAGGAGAGTGAAAAAGTTGGCTTAAAGTTCAACATTCAGAAAACTAAGATCATGGCATCCGGTCCCTTCACTTCATGGCAAATAGATGGGGAAACAGTAGAAACAGTGGCTGACTTTATTTTGGGGGGCTCCAAAATCACTGCAGATGGTGATTGCAGCCATGAAATTAAAAGACGCTTACTCCTTGGAAGGAAAGTTATGACCAACCCAGACAGCATATTAAAAAGCAGAGACATCACTTTGTCAACAAAGGTCTGTCTAGTCAAGGCTATGGTTTTTCTAGTGGTCATGTATGGATGTGAGAGTTGGACTATAAAGAAAGCTGAGCCAAAGAATTGATGCTTTTGAACTGTGGTGCTGGAGAAGACTCTTGAGAGTCCCTTGGACTGCAAGGAGATCCAACCAGTCCATCCTAAAGGAGATCAGTCCTGGGTGTTCATTGGAAGGACTGATGTTGAAGCTGAAACTCCAATACTTTGGCCACCTGATGCGAAGAGCTGACTCATTTGAAAAGACCCTGATGCTGGGAAAGGTTGAGGGCAGGAGGAGAAGGGGACAACAGAGGATAAGATGATTGGATGGCATCACCGACTCAATGGACGTGGGTTTGGTTGGACTCTGGGATTTGGTGATGGACAGGGAGGCCTGGCATGCTGCAGTTCATGGGGTTGGGTTGCAAAGTGTCAGATACAACTGAGCAACTGAACTGAACTGAACCTTCTTCAACACATCACAGAACAAAGGACTAAAGCACAATTATGTGCAAGTGCATAATTTCCCTTCAGACTTAGCATGAAAAACCAAACTGGAGTCAAGCCATTTAAATTCCACCCCATGACACACAGTATCACAGTCTGCTGAAACCAAAAGGGACACATTCCACCTGGTGTTTGCAAACCCCCACCTCCTAACAATTAGTAGGATCCTTGACTGGAGAGGAAATGTCTATCAAGTGACACTCTTTCATTTTAAGGCAATACAGAATGTATTATTAGAGGATTTAGATTATATTTATGTTCTTCAGATGGGTCAATTTTTTCATTCAGTTACCAAATAATTTTTATCTCCCACGTTTTGATATGAGGCACTGGGACCAGATGAGCACACAATTAGACTTCTAATTATCAGGGACCTTCCAGTCTTAGGAGAGGGAGACAATAAGTACAAAAGAAAGTGAAATTTCTATATGTTAATCACATTTTAAACGAATTCCCTTAAACTTACGATGCAGGTGTTGATATTTTAGAGAACAGAAATTGTAATTTTAATGATCGTGATGCTCTACCAAATTGATCCTATTAATAAATGGAAATGAACAGAAGTGAAAACTCTTACACTGTTAGTCCGAAGTACTATAAATCCATGTTAAGAATACCTGACCACCTAAAGAGGCAAGTAGAAAAGTTACCTGAACAGTAGAGGTGAATTTTTTTTAAATTCCAAACTAATTAAAAAATTATTGGCAAACTAGTGGCAGCGGATAATACTTCAGTTAAAGCTTAATCAGACCATTCGTCTTTCAGACAACGGTCCTAAATGAACACAGGCCTCTGGAAGAACACTACGTTCCCTGTTTACATTTATACCTACACCTAACACATTAAAAGAGAAATCACCCTTGTTGCCTCAGGAAGTCTCCAAAGCACAAACAGACCGTGAGTCACAGGTCCCCTAAGGACACTTTCACAAACACAGAATTACATAGTGGGCAGTACGTCCTCATGCCACTGATTCGGGTACTTTAAAATCCACAGGCATGGTTAGTTATGAATTGTTTTATCGGCTCCAGATTTAAGAATATAGTCTGGGGAGACTCCGAGATGTTTCCAAAAACAAACACTATTTCCGCACGGACGCCCTATCTCCAGCAATCCACGGAAGCCTAGGAAGTAACCGGCCTCCGGCGAGCTGGTAAAAGCTCTGGCTTAGCAAAGGCAGGCGAAACCATCTTTCTTAGAATTTCTTTCTTTAAACACTTTCAAGGTAATAGCTATTTTTGAAACAAGATCGCCACCTTTTCGTAAAACCAAAATCTCGCGAGACAACAAGTCACGCCGAACGCCGTAATCTCGCGTTGCGCCTGCGCGCGCTGAAACGTCCTGCACTTCCGCCCAAGGCGTGCTGTCACTCACAGACTCCTCCAGTCCTGCGGCGTGACGTAACGCTTTCTTTTCCGCTGTGTTTGCAGCCCCGGACGGAGGCACGCCGAGCTGCGGAGTTGCAAAGTCTGGCGCTCGCAGCTGCGGGTCTGTGCGAGATTTCACGTTGCCGGTTCCGAGTCATTTCACCGATAATCAATAGCGGATCGCTTTGCCAAGTGCCGGGAAGAACAAAAGAATCAAGAAAGAGACGCTCGGCTCCCGGCGTTCTAGTTCTGAGTGGCTTTTCCCGCTCGTTCCTGTCCGAAGAATCTGGACTTATAATCGTCACTGGATTGTAAGTACCCGAGGCGAAGAGAGCTCACTACGCCCCGCATTTTGAATATCTTTGTTCCGGGACAGTTTGTGGTTTGGGCGTATCTGCTGAGCCTTACTTTCTGTGCCAAAAATCTTCCGTAGGAGCCGCCATTTGCTTTCTCTGCATTGTTCTGCAGCGGCATCTAGAGGTTGAAACTTGGCGTTACCGCTAATAGATTTAAATGGACATAACTGAATAAGGCAATGCATCAGTAACAACTGGTGTTGAGTCACGGCGTTTTAAGAAAGACTTGGGGCTTAATTAAAAACATGCTTAGCTGCTGTTCTACCTAGAACTCTTTGTAACTAAGGATTCAAGTTTATAAAAAACTGGTCTTTCTGGTGAAGTATCTGGAACTTTTCAGTGCAAAAAGTGGTTATTAGAGAAAGACAATTACAAAGAAATAAAAATGAGTAAGAGCAAAGACGATGCTCCTCATGAACTAGAGAGCCAGTTTATCTTACGCCTACCCCCGGAGTATGCCTCTACTGTGAGGCGGGCAGTACAGTCTGGCCATGTCAACTTGAAGGACAGACTGTCAATTGAGTTACACCCTGATGGGCGTCATGGAATTGTCAGAGTGGACCGAGTCCCTTTGGCCGCAAAATTGGTAGACCTGCCGTGTGTTATGGAGAGTTTGAAAACCATTGATAAAAAAACCTTTTACAAGACAGCTGATGTCTGTCAGATGCTTGTCTCTACAGTTGACGGTGATCTCTATCCTCCTGTGGAGGAACCAGTTGCTGCTGCTGATCCCAAAGCAAGCAAAAAGAAGGATAAGGAC